ATACACAATCCGTTCAACAAAATATCACAGCCGGATCTTCAATAGATCACCAAAGTTCATATAAGTCACATAATACGACGGACAAGTTCAAACTACATTCAAAAATTTGAAATTAAAGTGGAGAAGGCGGATCTTCACCCAGGGGCGGCGCCAGGGGTCTTCTTGGGTATTCGGTTGAATACCCAAGATTTTGACAAACCATTGAAATTTTATATAAAACAAGCGATTTTTTTTGCAAAAACAGTGATGATTTGGGCAAAATGAATACCCTCCTCCAAAATGAATACCCACCCTCTAGAACCTGGCGCCGCCACTGTCTTCACCACTTCCTCGCCGTTTCTTTCTCCTTCCAGTCGTCGGCGCACCTGTAGGCGTCGGCGGCTGGTGGAGGATCGTCGCACGAGGCGCCGTGGTTGTCGCCATTCACGGGCTTGGACTGTCATGTCCTGCTGCCTCGTGCGACAACCGGAGTCCTATTCTTCGTCGGAGGAGGAGTCGGAGAGAATGATGAGCCCTTTGAGTCGCCGAACGGTCATGTCCTGCTGCCGCTTGAGCTTCGCCAGCCGAACTGCCTCTGCCGCCTCGGGCTTGGACTACTCAATGGCAATCCGGACCGCCTTGGCGTTCCTCTGACGGAGCCACTGAGCGTCCGTCTCCGCCGTTGTAAGCGACCGGCGGTAGACCCAACCGAGGAGCCGCTTGTCCTCGTCAGGTTCCGCCTGCATCCCGCGGCGGCGGCGCACGGACTGCTCCGCAGCGTCCCTCTCCCTTGCACACTGCCTTTGGCGGCGAGCGACACATGCCTCCAATTTTGGCGTGCGCATTCGGGCTGCTGGGGCGGGCACAAGCACCCACCGTTGCCCATGTGGGGAGCAGCAGTCGGCAGGGGCAGTGGCTGGCGTGGGGGAGGCGCGGACTGCACAACCCTCGCGGAGCTGCGCGTGGGCCCGAGGGGCCATCGCCGGTGTCTGCGCTGCGCTGGCGGGGGAGCTACAGCATCACTGCATATCCGGAGCTGCCGGTGTCCACCTTGGACCGCTCAATGCAGAGGCCAGCTCCTCGTCAACATCCGGGTCAGAGTTGGAGCGGTTGCCGGAGGTCAATATGGTTGCCGGATTGTATCGGAACTAGAAAGGAAAGACGAGAGGACAAAGCGAGAGAGGAGAGTGAGTGAGCTAGGGTTGCGAGCGAGGAGGTAGATTGGGTTTGTTTGGGACGTCGGTGGGGTCGATGGTGGGTTGGGCTGTCATGCGGACGCACTCAGCTGGGTCGATTTTTTGTGACCGGTCTGCTCACCTGGGCGTCTGAGACGAGTTTGAATAGCCCGGCTGTATATGCTCCGAGAACTGTGGTATGTGCTGGTAAAATCGCAGGAGGCGCCATAGAAGATCCGATCAAGCAACTCATTGCCTACCTCGTTCAGATTCCGTTCCGTCACACATCATGACCATCAGCAGACAAGGCCGCGTAGACCCAGCTAAATGCGTACGAAATTAGCTTGCCTCATCGATTACCTCAGCCGGTCGTGGGTCGTTCAGATTCGGCTCCGTCGCGCCATCAACGCACACGCACGGCTGCGTAGACCCGCCGACCTCCACCGAGAAATGCGTCTCGAATTTTCCCGTCCATTCAGCGGTCTTTCAAATTCTACAGAGATGTGGAAAATCATTTGACCTGCCAAGCCTCGTGCTTTCACCATGGATCTGTGGAATCTGTACGTCAAAGCTCATGCTTTGAATTTGACCGAGAGACTCATAGTCATTCAAAAAGGAACCGACAAAACACCGATTTTCTCGCTGGTCGAGTGGAAATTGTACGAGTACAGACCGTACCCATGATCAGAACGAACACAGAGTACTAGGCTATCTTGATTTGGGCCTCCAACGCGAATCTCATCCATCGGCCGTCGCGATCCAACGGTTCCATGACCACCCGAGAAAAACCACGAACCACTATATTCACTCTATCTCCTTCCTAAAAAAAATATTCGCTATATTTCACTTATTGAGAGAAAAGGGTACCGGCCTGACTAGACCGGCATGTTTTTCTTTTCTTTTCTTGCTGCTTTATTTCAAGTTTCATTTTGCCACAATATTTTTTATGTTTCATTTGATTATTTCCTTCATTTTCATGTTTTTATATTTTTTAGGATTTCTTTATGCCTGCTCTATTGTTTTTCTTTTTTATTTGCTTTCCCTTTTTTTCACTATCACCTTTCCCTTTTAGTTTTCCTCCGTTCTATTTTAATTTATTTTGATTTTACTTATTTTTAGGTGAGTAATACATGCACACTTTTATAAGATACATGAACACTTTTTTTTGTAGATGGATATTTATTTTTTGTCACCTCTAACCATGTTAAACCAAGCTCATTATTTTTTCATGAGTGCAAAAACAAGCCCAAGAAGTTATTTGACTTACCCAAAATAGGGGTCAATCGATTCCACGCAGGCCAACTCACCACCAAAATGACACAGAAGAAAAATAAAACGTCACACATCTCAAAGTAGAATGGGACGACCACAAAATCGATTGACCCAAAAAGAATTTTCTGCTAACTGGCATATAGCTAAAGTGAAAGCTTATACACATCTTACGGATGGGACTGGCTACAAGTCAACTGATTGAAAAACAAGATTTCAGTCAGTCGACTGACCCAAACATGTTTCGTTCAAGTGTGCCTCTAACCGTAACGTTCATGCTTCACTATGTGTAACGTTCTTTTTTTACTCAAATTGAATTTTTAAGTTGTGGGTGCATGCGTACAAACCATTCATGCATGCACGTACACTTGTGAATGCTCCCTTCATACATAAATATACGATGATTTGAATATTTGAATATGGACTACATGCATACTAGAACGAATGAACAAACACGGTAAAACACTTGTGGCATTGGTATTACACTTTCAGAAAAAACTAAAAAGAATCAAAATAATGAAGTTTTCTAAGAAAGAATGAAAGCCTTTAAGAAGAAAGAAAAAGAAAAAAGGAAAAAAAAACTTTCAAAACTTGCACACAATTTGCACTGATATTACACTTTTTGAAATATGCAAAGAATAAGCATAAAATAGTGCATTTTTTGCGTTCTGCTATAATTCCTACAGATTGTAACTAAAATAATGTATTTCCTTTAAGAAGAAAGACGACTAAAAAAACATGCGCAGAACTTTGCACTGAAATTTCACTTTATCATAATATGCAAAAATAATCATATAATCATGAAATTTTGGCGCATATTATATAGTATTTGTTTGTATATAATTATACTTAGCCAAAAACCCACAAAAAACAAAAATAACCAATAAAGGAAAGAAAAAGGAAAAAGAAAAACCCATAGAAATGGAAAACATAAATAAAAAAGTGAAGCAAAAATACCCTTGAATAGGAAAGAAAATGATATAAAAAATTAAAACAAAATAATGACAAAAATTGCACAGAATCTGCACAAAAATTGCGCTTTTTTATAATATGCAAGAATAAACACATAATAGTGAATTTTTTCGCAAAATGAAAATTTTCTAAAGAAAGAATGAATTTGTAGCATTGGCATTTGATCCATGGTGTCTCTACTTCTCTGGATCAAAATAATGAATTAGTGGTATCGGTGTTACCATTTAGGAGGAAAGAGAAGTAAAAAAGACAATAATGACAAAATTTGCACATGGTTTGAATAGAAATTGCGCTTTTTTATAATATGCAAAAATAAGCAGAAATAGTGAAATTTCACAAAAAAAATCCCAGGTAGGAATGAATTAGAGGTATTGGTATTACCCTTAAAGAATAAAGAAAATAAATAGAAACTTAAAGAAAATTAAAATAGGGAAGTTTTCTAAGAAACAATGAATTTGTGTCATTGGTTTCCCGTTAAGAAGAAAGGACCTGAAAATAATAAAACAAATAATGAAATATTTGGCAAACAATTTGCACAGAAGTTGCGCATTTTTATAATATGCGGGAATAAGAATATAATAGTGTAATTTTCAGAAAAAGGAAGCTTCCTAAGAAGAAATGCGGCATTGGTATTATCACAAAGGAATAAAGGAAATAAAATAATACTTAAAAACCGAAATACCAAAGTTTTCAAGAAAGAATGTATTAGTGGCTTACATATTACTCTTTATGGAAAAAAGAAAATGAAATAAAAACTAGAACACAATCAAAATAATGAGGCATTCCAAGGAAGATTGAATTATTAACACTAGTATTACCCTTTAAGAAGAAAAAATAAAATAGAAACTAAAACAAAAATCAAAGTAGTAAGTTTTTCTAATAAATTATTAATTAGTGTCATTAGTACTAGCCTTTAAGAAGAAACACAAATAAATTAATTAATTAAAATGAGGAAGAATGAATTAGTAGCATTATTATAATCCATTGAAAAATAAAAAAAATAAGTTTGCAAAACTTGCACACAACTTCGCTCTTAAATTATACTTTTTAGTACGCAAACAATAATCATATAGTAGTGTAAGTTTTGCACATATTGCAAATTATTTATGTGTGTACATTACACTCACCCAACATCCCAAAAAATATCCACAAAATAAAAATAAAACCAACTAACAAAGAGAAATAGAAAAACAAAAGCAAAAGCACATAAAAACTAAAAAATATTAAAAAAAATGAAGGGAGAGAGAGCAGGAATGGATCACACAGTTAATGGGCTTTGGCCCAGAAGGAAATCGACTGACCCAAGTAAGGGGTCAGTCAAAAAAAAGAAAGAAGCCCACACAACAAACAACACAGGTCAGGGAAAAAACGCAACACAAACCTTAAAGAAAAATCCCACGGCCACAAAATTGACTGATCCAAAAGTGAAATTTCAGCTGACTGAAATGTAGCTAAAGTGCATTATTTAACTATAGTCGATGGTTGGAAAAATTATTGTTGAGTTGATCACGTTTACGCTCTATCATGAACTTCACTCTGCAATAAATTAAATCTACCGCAGGCACGTCTGGACGTGTGTGGAATACGATGGTATATGCCCACTGATCAGAGTCTCAACGGACCACCGTCGGGATACCCACTCCGTCCGGTGAAGTGCTGGCCTTCCATCCCAAGGACGGCAGGAGAGCTGCTGCTGGAAGCACCGGCGTTGATATGCTGCAACCTGCTACTCGTCGCCGGCGGCGCCTGCCTCCAGTGCCGCTTCCTCTGGTTGATGAACCAGTTGTTGATCTGCCTCGTGTCGAGCCCCGTCGACTCAGCCAACGCCTGCTTCTCCGGTTCCTGGAACGCATGCACGTTACGTATGTCGCCATTAGCTATCAGTACGAAGCTCAAAAACCAAGATAGGAGTACGTAACGATCTCCATGTATGCATGCATGCATGCATGCATGAACCCAAAGTACGTAGCCAAGCACGTACCGATGGGTAGGGCCATCCCTGGTGCAGCTGCCACCAGTGCAGGAGCCTCTGGCGCGCCTCCCTCGGCAGCCTCCCGCTCTTCTTCTTCTTCTTCTTCCCGGAGAGCTCCCTCCAGAGGCCTCTCAGGTAGCCGCTGTACTTGTCCAGGGGCTGGCTCTTCAGCTGCTTGCCCTTGCCGGAAGGCAGGCCGGCGACGTCGCAGGTCTCCTGCTCATCTTCAGAAGAAGAACCCCCGCACTCGTCGTTGTTGTCGCCAGTTGCTTAAGACACACGGCAACGATCCAGCAAATAACCAAAGACATATATAGGTCAGTAATTAGTAGTTTCATCTAACGAGCCAACGTTAGCTAGAAAGATAGTGTGCTATAAATTGACGCAAATATTATCACTAGATCGATCGGTTTGCTTTTGCTATCGTCGATCGATCGGCTGCTGGCTAGCTGCACATGTAATGTAACCACCAGATCACCACAGAACATGCATGGTAGCACGCCCCACCACCAGTCCACCACCACCACACCATCCAATATCGAACTGACCATGGTCTCTTTCAGATCAAGCTAATTGATCCTATGCAGTCATGCAGGCACAAAAAGTTGGATAATAATCGGGCGGTACGGCCAACGGAGGCAGAGAACATTTCAGCCAGACGAGCACATGCCCATGCATGTACTATCATGTATGCGTGGCGAGATCGCAACCGCATGCATGCAGCGCCAAGGCTGACATGTGCATATGCATCAATGGGCGTCTCTGCGTGGTAGCTGGCCAGCAGTTGCTTTGCCATGTGGCCATACGGGCCGTTTCAGCATGCATGTGCCTTCATCTCCATGCTTCTCTTTTCCAAGACAAGGCAACGGGTGTCTCATACAGTACGCCTTTTTGCTTTTACTCTCATAATGGAGCATCTAGCTAGCAACCAAGATTTGGGACAACTAAGTTTTTGTGTTTGATTTGCAATATCTACAACGTCATATCAGTATCATTAGATCCACCATAAATATATTTATTTTTTCTTTATTTGATATTGTAGATGCTAATATGACCATTCTATAAACCTGATCAAACATACAAATGTTTGGCTTTTGAATATAACAACACGTTTTGTATACTGAAACAAAGGGGGTATATATGAACCTAGCTCTAAGAGCAAGACTAATGGAAGCAGATTTGTAGCACCCGGATGCTTCACACCCCTATAATAACATTACATTTAAAAAATATTAAAAAACTGGGATTTTGGGATATCAAACCTAGGTTCCTGATCTACTCCCGTGTGAAATTTTGTGAAAAAAATAACAGGAAGCGTATTCGTGGTAAAAAAGATAAATTTCCTATGTATAAAAAAACTGTTTGGGTGTATTTTTGTTCGGACAGTATTTCATTTGCCATGGATACGTTTACTAGTATTTTTTCACGGAACTTCACACGGAAGTAGATTGAGAACCCAGGTTTGATATCCCTAAATTTCAGATTTTTTTTAAATAATTGGTATTCTTTTATGTTTCATATTTGTACAGGGGTGTGGAGCACCCAGGATCTCCTGTGTATTTTCCCAAGGCTAATGCTCTATTTCGCCACATCATATATATATAGTCAATCTAAAAGCATATCCATATGGTAGACGCTAGCTCTACATATTATGTCACTAATGTCTTACCCATCTTGTTTCTGGCAAAGTGTATTGGAGTCCATGTTGCAGCCCGCTATAGGTTTACAATCCACTCCTCTTCTCTCTCCCAAACTCATAAAAAAACTGAGGTGGCAAATCTTATAGCTTGATTATGCCCGGTTCAGCAGTGGCTTCATACATAGCTATGGTAAATAAATAAAACTTGGGGGCATATATGTTCCTAAGTTGACTAGAAATACTTCTTGCTAACTCAAGAGGTGTTAGTGGTAGTGGGTTTTGTATCTAATGAAAATTTGGTAGTTACATGTTTCTATAACCACCAGAGGGCAATGCGTGTTTTGCCGCACCGTTCTTCAGTCATGAGTTAAGTTTTTCTTTCCAGCCTGTTACGGCTGGTTGGTTCATTAATATTGTGTGTTTCATCCGAGGTAGGCGGGCTTTTAATTACATTTGCGTTTTTTGTTTGTTGACGAGATAGGGTGTCTGGTGTGCGAGGTATACTAAATTGTTCTATGTGTGGGTGTGCCGTTATTACACGTAACACATAAATTAACATATGGGCGTCACACGTTCATCTTGAAGTAAACATTAACGTAGCACACATATATTGATTCACTCCCTTATTACTGGTCCCATCAATGACCCCTTAAGCCCCGACACCAGAAGCTAGCATCCCTAGGGAGCTTAGTATCTTAAGTACATGTACAATTGCATATTTCAACCCTAAAGGTGCCTATGTATATTATTTTACTAAACTCTGGTCTTTTATTGTGACCAGAATACAAGTCCGCTTGAGTTGTTTGGTCTATAGTCATGGTGACCTTAAATATACATCCATATTGTAATGTGCATAATATTTTTGACACCTGGTTGTGGGTATCAATAAGAAGCTTTCCTCTCATATCTTGATGGGGGTGGTGCCTTATGTTGGGTTCTTTCGCTATCCAAGAACGATATGATTTTTGACAAAAAGAAGACTTGTACTCCTTTGCAGGTTATACACTCATTTACGTGTTGGTTTCATGAATGGTCTATGCTTCAGCGGTCGGAGCACATGAAGTTGTTCAAATTACTCCCTCTGTCCGAGTTTATTAGACCTAAAGACAACTTCTCTTAGACCAAGACACATAGTAATTTACTCACATTAATTCCTCCATTCCACTCCCAATGCACTCTCTCACATGCATGCAGCCAATGAAAAAGCACGCATGAAGTGTATTAATTTTCCAGCCATGACACCAACAACAATCGCTTTCAATGCAACCAATGAAATGATTGCATGCATGCACCTTTCCAATGCGGAGCCTTATAAAAGGGGACATGCTTGTGATGCAAGAGGCCTAATAAACCCGGACGGAGGGAGTAGCATGTATGCGGTGTGAGCAGATGATCAGGGATAGGGGTGCAAATTGGTACCCTTTAGAGCATTCTCTGGCCCTCTTTAGTTGAACTAAATAAACTAAATTTTCAGAAGTCACCCCACTTTTATAAATTTAGTACATTTGGTTGAGCTAAGAAGAGTCGGAGGGAACCCTGAGGGTCACAAATTTACATCCCTAATCAGAGAGGTGTTTACCCCACATGAATGCTGGTTTAGTGTATGGCTTGGGTGCAAGTTGTTTACCCCAGCGCCCTAAGACATTCTTCATCTTTTTTATGTTAGACTATGACACTATTATTTTTTGGGGGATTGTCGACTTGATAGAGTTGTGCACATCTTTGCCATGTTGAGATCGAGTTTATACTCCTTGCGGTTATATCATCTTTGCCATGTTTTTTTTATAAGGGGAGAACCACGGCCTCTGGATCACAAGATGCACACAAACAACCTTGATACCATGTTGGCCTCAAAGTCCCTTCTTATCGATAAAAGTTTACCAATTCAAGACATTTAAGAGTCCTAATTAAGCTAGAGGTTTGGGAATTATAAACACCACATGGTACGCTACACTGGCACTTGTTTTCTTTCATAGATGATGACAAATAGACGGCGACGCGTCTTCGGCTTGCTTCAATGCTTGTAGTCGTCGCTAGGTGGTCTACGAATCTGGATATAATTTTTATTATTTCGTGTGTTCGTTGTACTATTATGATTGAAAATGAATAGATCAAAAGTTCCTATAAAAAAAGTATTCCCGCAAAAAACAAAGATGACAAATAAGTATAGGATGCCCGCAAGGCTGCAATAGTCTTGGCATCATCCCAAACTCCCAAAGACAAGCCTGCAAAAATAACTTACTAGTATAATTAAGCATGCACACGCACCTAGTGCAAACGAGTCGATATGGGCCTCGGCGCTCCTCAAGAACTGATTGGCTTCTTGGATTTGCCTCGTGAGCTCCTCACTGTACATCACCAGCATATCACGGTAGGTC